GGGTTCCTTGAAGGGTTCCTGTAAGGGTTCCCCTATCAAGTGGTATACGTGGGTGTAGAGCTTTCATGGCCTAAATAATTAGAATAGTTTTTTTTCCGGATTTATAGGATTCTTATGAAGGTCTTTTGGAGGGCAACATCCATCCTGCAAGGCTTCCTTTCAGGGTTCCTTTTAGGGGCTACTGCAAGGCTTCCTTCAACCGAGTTCCAAACCGGAAACACTTTAGGGTCTAGGGATTGGGGTCGAGGACCCTCGGGCTCATATAGGTCAAGTAAGGTTTACTAGAGATAAGGTTAAGGTCTATAGTTTAGGGTTTAGGGTTGACAGGAGTTGACTAGGCCCTGGCTTGATCTGATAAGGGCTTATGCAATTGATAAAATTGAAAGCTTTTCTTGGCGGTTTGATTGAAAGCTGACTTGAAATAGCATATGCCTTGCACGACTTATCTCTCGTGGGAGCCGCTCCTGCAGTGGTTCTAGCAGTTTAGGAGTCAGTCAGAGTTCAGGACATTAGCCCAGGAGCGCCACCGGGAACCGGGAGGGCACTGAAAGGCAACGCATCCAGAAAGGTCAAAGGCCACCGACGTAGCTACGTGCTATAGGGCTCCAGTTTCTTACAGCATGGGCTACTGCGTCATACAGTATATGGTTGGTTCCCCAAGATCTGGTTCGTGGGTCATACACTATATGGTGCGTAACCTACTGTTTAACTAGCCCCATAGCGACTGATGGGAGGATCCGGGATATTGCTTCTCGCAGGAAGGCTTGATTCTATGTACGGGTCGACAAAAGCAAAGGGATTTCCAATCATACTTATAGTAGCCCTTGTAATATGTAACCCTTAATTCTATAGAGGAACACTTAAAGTAACAGTAACCCACATAGACTCATAGTATTAAAACCAGTCCGATCCTTAGGGCTTCCATTTTCACACAAGCGCCAAGGGTCGCCATTCCTTTGTTGGCCCTTCTCCGTGCGCTCATAGAAGCCTACGCCAAGGTCTATTCATGGACGGTTGCGCCTTCGATTGCACTCTCATTGCACTCTCAAACCTCAACAAGCCCTCTGCTGTTCTGCACTCAGTATAAAACCCGAACCTGTCCAATGGCCCGTAAACCTGCGCAGGCCTGCAAAAACCTGGAAAGTCTTCGATCTGAATATAAATAAGAACCATAACACTGACTACTAGCACTACTACTTTCTACTACTACTACTACTACTACTACTACTACTACTGCTACTACTACTACTTCTACTACTTCTACTACTACTCTACTCTACTACAGTACTACAGTGGTAGAGTGCCACAGTGCCGCAGTGCGACAGTACTACAGTACTACAGTACGAGTACTGCGACAACGAAGACTACGACGACTACTACTACCACGACGACTACGACTACGACGACGGCGACGACTACCACTGCAACGGCTAATGATATGAATACTAATAGTATCCTGAACTGCTCACGAGGGTGGTACCTCAACAGTTGTTCTCTCTCGCTAGTAGGCAGCGCGACGGCCTGACATCCGAGAGACAGAGCTCGCAGGGTTGCAGTCCCCTTTTCTGGGTTTTTGTTAGGGGATATAATTTAAGTTACCATCATAGGGATCTATAGTTAATAACAAGGCTTCTTTATCATGGTAACTTATATTAAATCCCTTAACAAGAACCCAGTTTTGCATAGGTGGCGGCCAAATTTATGTATACATGCAGCAGCGGCTCTTCACGGCAAGGAGGCCGCGCCAAGTACAGCTATGCATGCAAATTGGAGCGAATACATGACTATGTGACCTGATAGTACATTACACGGCTAAAAATTCACGCTGTATGACATGATATTACATTCTACATTGGGCTACAGTCAGCAAACAGAGAAAGTTTGAAGCCGCTGGGTCCAAACCCATCCATCCCTGACTGCTTGGTGCAAACCGGGAGCTGGGCATCGAAACGGATTCGTTTCCCAGTGAAGATCGCGAAGTTCGCGACCGCCGCGTGTAGCTGTCCCCACTCCCTTGTCGCCGGAAAGTGTCCGGAGATCGGGAACCTTAGGATAGGCACGCTAAGCCGAGAAACTCTGAGACTACGGAGCCAGCCGTATCTCAACGCCTTTGTTGCTACGGCTCATGTTGCCATCATTATGACCGGTGTTCGCTGGCACTTGTCAACATCGATACCTCACTAATCACTTCTAGCTGAAGCGACAACAATAAGACCGCTGCTGCTGCTGCTGCTGCTGCTGCTGCTGCTGCTGCTGCTGCTGCTTCTGCTGCTGGTCGCGGTGGTGGTTGTGCTGCTGCTGTAGCTCCCGCTGTGCCTTGTATGGCCACTTCCACCACCATTACTGTCAGTACCGCTACTACTGTTGCTGCTGCCTGAGCCATACATCCCAAAGCAACTCCAAAGACTCCGAAACCAACAGCTGACTCTGGTCGAAGAAGCCCGATGGTGGCGATCCTGCACGCTGGGGAGTTGTCAGTTCTGGTGGTATATACGCATTAATAATTCGAAGCGGGTTTCTGGGGTACATTACAGCATAACTTATAGTTCGGCACCCCACATCGGTAACTCTAGGCTCCTCTATCTAGGTCCGGTTGGTACGCTCCTACTCTTCACGGTGTTTAGGGAGCTGTTGTGGCTCAGGATTAGGCCTCAGGGTTCTAGGGTTAAGGGGTGAGTGATTAGGCTTTAGGGGTGTCAAAGTAGAGGGTGCGCGATTTGATGTTTAGGCCAAAAAGCCATTAGAGGACCACTTTATTCATGGTCAGGCAGAAGTACTGCTGTTCTTACCTCAACACTAATGCTCAGGATGCTGGTGTTGAGCTCTGTGCACCAAAGGTCCCAAACAACTAACAATTAAGTACTTCGGTTTAAGACAGTCGTGTACTGTCACAGTACTGTCTGCCAGTACTTTGTGGAGTATCTTGCATTCAGCTATGAGTTCAGCCTTTAGGATGGGTACTTGAGGCCGTTGCGGCTTTTGGCTTGAGGGTGTTGGGATAAGCATATCAGGGGTTAGATTTCACGCAGCAGAGTTCAGTACAAAATGGTCCGTTATTCGGAAAACGAAGAACACCAAGTTCTTCGTCGATTCAGAGCTCATGCTGTCGGAGTTTCTTCGGTACGACTCTTACCGGCTCTTACCGCCAATCCCTCACGGAAAGCATTGAACAAACACGTAGAGGGAAACCCGAAACCCTAAAGACGCATGCACTCGCCTGGTATGTGGAGCCTGGCCACCAGTGGCGAATCGGGGGGTGATGGCGTCCGCGGCGAGTTCCTGAGACGATCTCTGTCCGGCTTGCATTTTGAGGCCCGCACCTCAGAACTCTACAACAATTTGCAGGAATTAATGCTGTAGTAGCGATCTTTAGGGTCGGGATAGTGCTGGGTGGTGTACCCTCAATGACTTGACCCAAGAGACCTCGACTGGATATCAATAACACCTTTGGCTCAAGTTGCATCTGCCCCCGAAAAAAATCGGTGCAACATGCTGAGGCTGATGCAAGAGGGTTTAGGGTTTAGGGTTTAGGGTTTTGGACTTTTGTTGAGGGGCAGAGAGGGAGGGGCCGGCTTCCAAGGCTAAGCGCTCAGCCCTCAACCGTTCAGCCCCTAACCCTTGAACCCGAAACCCTAAACCCTGTCGTAGGAGTTCCAAACCCTAAACCCTAAACCCTAAAAGCCCTAAACCCTAAACCCTAAAACCCTAAACCCTAAACCCTGTCTTAGATCTTAAGAGTTTCCAAAAGAAGGAACTCCAAGCCGCGGTCCGACAATGTCGGATCCTAGAGTCAGGGATTCTCGACTCACACAAAAGCCATAAGCCCCTGCCCCCACTCCAAACTCTAAGACTCTAAGACCCTACCCTAACCCTCCAGGTACCTATATAGGGCCCTAGGGGCTCTAGTACCCTATATTGTAGGTACCTGGGGGGTTCGGGATATGTAAACACTTTTAGGGTTTAGGGTTGAAGGAGCTACTTTAACCAAATCGATCTTCGGCAACAGCTCTTTCATGTAAGAACTAGATTTGAAAGCCCGTGGTTCTAACGCAGGATCCAAGGAACGAGCCCCGACCAGAATCAGGAGGTTTGCAGCCAGGTTATAGTGTGCCGTATTATGGTATCTTTAAAGTCTTAAAGTATACGTAATGTAGTATACTCTAGTATATTACCAAAGTTTGGTACCACAGTGTATTGTGGTAGTGCCTGCTGCCATGCCACGTCGCGAACTGTGGGGATCCGCGATGATCTTTTGGCGGCACGATCAACGTTGTCTTCCTCACAGATGTTTTGTTTTGTTTCTTGTGGGGAAGGGGTGGTGCATACTGCATGGGTTTGAGAGCTGTTTCACTGCTTCGGGCTTTTAGAAGGCTGATTAAGTATCGCAAAGCACTTTGGGTTCAGAGCGTTCCCTTCTGATCTAGGTCTTGTCTGTGGATGTAGACTCCCGCTTTGAAGTTACAGCTGACGTCTTCGAGGTTCCGCAGTAGCCCCGTAACAAGAAGGGTACATTTTTTCCGACTGTCTGGCTTAAACAAGGGAACCCAAAAAGAAAAAGTTCAAAAGGGTATTACTGGGGAACCTCGTCTTGCACCGTTGTCTAAGCAGACTGTGATTCCCCCCCCCGGCCAGAAACTCCTCAAACCGCAATGTAGGGGCCTTAACAATTGGAGTAGGGTTTTGGGGCCCGATGTACTATATTCATAATAAGGAACCCCCACAATAGTATAGGCAATTATTTCGGCCCCTATACTCAGCCCTAAACCTTAAGCCGTGAACCTTGAACACTAAACCTGAGACCCTGCACCCTAAACGCATCACTCTTAGACCCTAGACCCTTTTATAGCCCTACCCATAAGCCCCATTGCAGTTCCTTTTTGGGGTTCCCTAACAGAACACTGAATATAAGCCACAAAAAGGAACTACTATGGGGCCTATGGGTAAGCCCTGTGCATCCGAAGACCGTCATTCCCAAGCTGCTGCATTGCTTTCGCGCAGGCCTCCCACAAAAGCTGAAGCCCGCATCTCGAAACCCTAAACCCTAAACCCTAAACCCTAAACCCTAAACCCTAAACCCTAAACCGTTACACTAAACAGGGTAAACAGCACTAAAAGGGTTCAGGGAACACCCCCCCCCCAATACTAAACACCACAGGCCCTCCACTTTACATCCAAACGCCTTGATGTCTTGCTGTCATTTGCTGTCGAAGCTGCTGCTCCCTTTTCGGCATCGCTGCCGACGGCTCGGGCGAGAACAGAAGCTCCTTACATGCGCGGTCACGAAACACATTCTGATTTTGTTCGTCTTTTGTTTCAAGATCGTTGCGCTCCATGAAACCCTACAAAGTTCCATAATAAAACCCTACAAAGCTCCATGAAACCCTGAAAAACTCCAAAACAAACCCTACAAAGCGCCATGAAAGCCTATAAAACCAGCCCAAGTCCTAACCGCAGTCGAGCATCGAGAATGCAAGATGGATGGAAGTTAAGAGGTAGGCTAATGGTTTATTGTCTTTTTCATGGCTGGCACTCTACCCACTGGAACTCCTAAAAACAAGACCGGAAGCATCTACTTGGAGGTTCATGGGTAGTTATAAGTGGAGTTATAAGTCCCCTAATATGGGTTATAAGTACAGTTACCCTACTTATAAACTCATTTATAACTACCCATGAACCTCCAAGTAGAGTCGGTCAGGATTTGAGGGTGTATGGGTTTGGGACTTTAGGATTTAAGAATCCACGTATCTAGTCGAACTGAAGCAGTGTCAGTCGTGCTTCTGCCCATCTGTACATGCATGACGACTGAAACCCTAAACCCTAAACCCTAAACCCTACACCCTATAAACCCTAAACCCTAAACCCAAAACCCCAAATCCAAACCCCTAAGCCATGCAGCTTGGGACTCTGAAGCCCTAAAACCCTAGCCCCGTGAGCCTTGCAGCACAGCCCTAAACCCTAAACCCACATGAAGCCTCAAAACAAACCGCAACCCCAGAGCCCAATTCAAATTCAAACCCTAAACCCTAAGCCCTAAACCCGAAGCCTTCAACGCTAAACCCAAAGCCTTAAACCCTAAACCCAAACCCTGAAAAACCCTGAGCCTTAAGCCCTAAACCTTAAACCTTCAACCCTAAACCCTAAACCTTAAGCCTAGCCTTCAACCCTAAACCCTAAAACTAAAACCCTACACCCCTAAACTCCTAAACCCCTGAAGCCCTAAACCCCTGAACCCCTAAATCCCTAAACCCCGAACCCCAAAAAACCCTAAACCCTGAACAAAAAAACCTAAACCCCAAACCCTAAACCCTTAACCCCTGAACACTAAAACCCTAAACCCTTCACCCCACAAGCCAGCCAGGCCCCAGAGCTCTTGCAGGCCCGGGTCCGCCGACTCTGGTGAGCCGGGTGAAGGCGCAGTAAGAGGTGGCGAGGCGGGCGGAGAGGACTCCTTTTAAGGTTTAGGGTCATCACATTTTTAGAAAGGTTTAGGGTTTAAGGTTTAGGGTTTAGGGGTCTGTAAGGGTTTAGGGGTTCAGGGTTGAGGGGTTTAGGGTTTAGGGGTTTGGGGTGGACCTTGAGAATCCTCGTATGGACCCTCCAGAACTCCCTTTTAAAATCCGAAAGCTTCGACATGGAAGGGAAGCCTGAACCCCAAACCTTCGTGAGCATAAGGGGCACACCAGCAAAACATTGAAACCTCTAAACTCTAATCCCCAAACCCCTACACCCTAAACTAGACCCTAAACCCCCGAAGCCTCTAAACTAATCCCCAAATGGAACCTAAACCCTAAGCCCTCAGGCCTCTTAACTACTCCCCAACATGTAGAACCCCTAAACCCTAAACCCCTAAACCCTCAACCCATAAACCTCTAACCCCTAAACCCTAAACCCCTATACCCCTAAACCCCTAAACCCCTAAACCCCTACACCCATAAACCCCTAAATCCCTAAACCCCTAAACCCCTCCAGAGGTTGAATTCAGGGTTTACCTGGACCCTGGAGAACCTAGATTCTCAAAGGACTTGCATAAAGGAATCATAATAAGGAACCCCCAAAGAGGTAGGTTCTTCAGGGTCCAGGTAAGGCCTTTTGCTTGAAGGTAAGGGTTTGGGTTCAGGGCGGTCAAAGGGCCGCAGGCTCCACGGAGATGCACTGCAGCCAGCCTCTAAGGGTCGGAGCTTGGATTAGGGTTTAGGGTTTAAAGCTTAGTGTTGGGATTCTCCAGACATGGCCTTGAGAAGATAAAGATGTAGATGACGTTCCAAGTTTCTGCCTTCGAGGTTTATTGTAACAGGGAGTGATTATTAGGCACTAAGCAGGGTAGTAGAACCTAGAATCTCCGAGATTTCTCACCGATGAGCTATAAACCCTAAACCCTTTAGAAGCCCAGGTGTGCTCATTCAGAGAAAAAACCACCTTCTTCGCAAACACCTGCCACTCCGAGATGTATCCTATGACGACGACGACGACGGCCAGTGCCTATGACTGAGCCTGGCTTTCCTGGCCTAGCACTTCCGCGCTTACATCGCTTCGGTCCTGCTTCTTCGCCTTCCGCAGCTCCATCTGCCGAGTCTCCTTGTTAGGAGCTGTCGGGTTGAAGCTGTCGGGTTCTATCTAGGAATCCAGTGAAACCCTAAACCCTAAACCCTAAACTCACAATTGCCTGCAGAACCCTACTTGGTAAGTAAGGTTATAAGTACTTTAATGGGAGTTATCATGAATTATAACTTTCGTTACCTTATTTATAACCCTACTTACCCCTAAACCCTAAACCCTAAACTCATGATCCTTTAAGTAAGCTCCCGGAGCACCTCTTGCTTCTTCCGGCGCCAGTCCTGGAGCGCTTCTTGCTCCTCCGGCGTTCTTGATTGGCTGTGTGCTTCAGATTTCGGGCTGCGGACGAGCATTTAGGGTGTTAAGGGTCTATATTAGGGTTTGGGGTTTAGGGTTTAGGGGCTTCGGGGTTAGGGGTTTGGGGTTTAGGTTTTAGGGTTTAGGGGTCTGGGGCTGACGGCTGGGGCTAAAAATGGCTTACGGGTTTACGGTTTAGGGCTTGGGTGTGTGGCATATGCTCAGAGGAGACTCTGGGTGTTTCATAAACTAGGAACCCGAAACCCTTAAATGCTACACCCTAAACCGGATAAAGAGCTAAAGTAGGAGCCTAAATAATTATCTATACTATTTTGGGGATTCCTTATTATAAACATAGTATACTGGGCCCCAAAACCTTGTTCTAATTATTAAGGCCCCTATATTGGCTAAAGGAGGGGGGTTTGACAAGGGGGTTTTATAAGGGGCATTATCCTTATCGATTCCCTCCCAGACTTGGATGTCGGGCTGAGGGCGTCTTGGATCTGACTTTGGTAGCCTCCTACGGTTCAACACAATTCTTGGTGAAAGAAATGTTCGAAACTCGTCATGGCAACATAAGGAAGAGGCCTGGGAGCTCAGAAAAGGGTGGGTCTTGGGGTATACTGCAATATGTCGATGGTGGGCCCATGAGAGATATTCTTGCCAAGTTTGCAGGCGTCCATATCAGCAAAACGAAGGTCCTTGCAGGACAGTTCATGGCCCACAGGGCCCGCTGAAGAATATGCTTCACGACGGACAATGACAAGTAGATAAAGTCTGCCTAAATTCAAAACCCTAGACCCTAAACCCTAAATCCGAAACCCTAAAACCTTAACCCTCAACCTTAAAAAAAACAGAGCCGGGTGCTTCTTCGCGCCTCTAGCTCCAACTGCCGAAGCCTCTCTGCCTCCTCCTGGCTGCAAAAACCGCCGGATGCCGCAAATCCTCGAGCCCCTTCTATCCATTAGGACTGAGGATTTGGTTTCAAGTTCAAGCATTGAAGTTTTGTGCGTGGGCGAAACGTCTGTTTTGTTCGGCATGGGGGATCGGACTGAGCGAAAATGAGGGAAGCCCGCACCACCAGGGCCTGTTAGGGCTGCCACGGCTTTACATAGGTGAAAGCCTTCCTCAGCGCATGCTTTTGGGGTGCCGTCCAGCGCTAGTCGCTTAGTTGAGGGCTGAGGAGCAGGCCCGAGTTATTCTCCAGAAAGACAAAGGACCAGAGCCATAGACATTGAAATACGCACACAGATTTCACCAGTCATTGCCTGAGCCGGAGCTCGATATACGGGCCGTAGCAGGTAGCATACGTTTTGCATTATACAGTATCTTTTACAATATTATCATAATAAACAGGACAAAAAGGTATGGCAGCGGGTAATCAGTATGTCGGCTTCTATGAGAGCCCTGTGAACCCTCTGCTCCTCTGAGCTACAGTCTTAGAGTTGACCTCCGGGAAAATTCACGGATTTCGTATAGAAGCCGGAAGAAGTACCTCTGCTCTTCCTGAGGGTTCCGTACTATGACTGTAACTGTAGAAATCCCTTTAAGACCCATTTATTTAACATCCGTATAAATCCACAAAAAGCCTGATCAAGCTTGCACATTGGACCCCAACCAGCAGCCTAACCCTAACGCAGGGAATCCACCTCGTCGTAAGAATGGTCTAATGGCGGTGCCTGCCAGCATGTATATCTTTGGGCTTTGGGGTTGTTGAGGGTTTGGGGTGGATTTGGGATTTCAGGCTGTTCGGGTTGAGGGTTTAGGGTTGCTAGTTTGTTGTTGGGGTTTAGGCTCCCAAGTGCTTGGAAGCGAATTGTCCCGAGGATCAACCCAAACCTCGCAGAGCGAACCACAAGCCAGAAACAACCGAAGATCAGCACTGCCGCTTAAGCACTATTCCACGGCAAACCTGAAACCCTACATCCTAAACCTTAAACCCTAAATCCTACCTCCCAAAGACCCACCAAATCTCGGCCTGGCTGAGAGTAGGCTCAACGCGAGGAGCCTCCCAGTTCGAGGTGTCTTGCGGTCCCTTTACAGGGGACCCGAGTATAGAACCCTACAGTACCCTTAAAGGGGACCCTATTACAGAACCCTACAGTACCCTTAAAAGGGGACACTATCATAGAACCCTATAGTACCCTTAAAAGGGGACACTATCATAGAAGGTTCATGGGTATAGCTATAAGTGGAGTTGTAAGTCCCCCAATATGGGTTAAAATTACAGTTACCCTACTTATAACCCACTTACAACTACCCGTGAACCTCCAAGTAGGGGCTCCCTTAGAAGCATCCCTTGAGGGCTCCTTTAAAGCATCCTGTAAGGCATCCTTTCAGGGATCCTTTGAGGGCTCCTTTAAGGCAGTGCAGGAGCCTGATTGGGAAACCCTGACCCTAAACTCCAAATATTAGGGTTCATATGAAGAAACCCTTTTGAAGATCCAGGTTGTCTTCATCGGTTTCCTATATTAGGGATCTCTGATTCTGGGCTTCCTTTGACGCATTCCCTTGCTGCAAGGGTGCTTTCGGGTTTCGGGGTTTAGGGTT